CAGGAAAAAAAAGGAGGGGGGGGAGACAGGGAGCTTGAGTGAATCAGTAAGTATCTGAAGATTAGGTAGTTAAAACGAAGCAGATAAGAATCAAATTCAATTGATAGTATCCTTCCTGACACAGGAGTCTATACAAAGAGCTGTTTGCACCTTCAACAACTGTTAAGTTGATAGTGCCCCAACCATCCTTCATCACGGATTGAGGCCATTAGCATGTGAATTGAAGGTCATTGACTGCTCATCCAGTAATTTGATCTACGTCATCAAATGCCAGCAATGCACCACTGATATATATATTGGACCAACTGGACACTTTCTGCGGGAAAGAATCAATGGACACAAATCAGATATACGTAAAGGAAACATACAGAAACCTATTGGGGAATACTTTAATCTTCCTAATCACTGTTTAAAAGATCTTCAGGTGGCTGTCTTGTCACAAATCAGTTCTACTAGCCAGATACACAGAGAAACACTGGAATTAGAGATTACCCACAAATTTAATTCACATGCTAAACGACTCAGTCCTGATGAAGGATGGTTGGGACACTATCAACTTAACAGTTGTTGAAGGTGCAAACAGCTCTTTGTATAGACTCCTATGTCAGGAAGGATACTATCAATTGACTTTGATTCTTATCTGCTTTGTTTTAACTTTCCAATCTTCAGATACTTACTGATTCCCTCTAGCTTCCTGTCTTCCCTCCCCCCTTTCCTCTCCTATTTATTTTGGGTCTGCACATCTTAAACTCAAAACTCCGCTCATCTGAATAAGTGAGCTGTGCCCACAAAAGCTCATGATACCATCTACATGTTTTGTTTGTCTATAAAGTGCTACCAGACCATTTGTTGTTTTATCTGGAATCACTGAGGCAGACAGGTAGAACAGACATCTCAATATAGTAAAATTTAAGTGAGAATTGAACACTTAGATTTTGCATTATGATGGCTACAGTAAGTCACCAAATTTTTATCAATTACACATTGTGATATCCAGGGCTCGCTGAGCCTTTGCAAGCCCCAGTCGCCAGCCGTGCTGTCCGGCGTTCTGCGCATGCGCAGATCGTCCAAAACCCGGCTCTTCTGGGTTGTAATCTACTCGCCACGGGCGAGTAGATTACATAGATTGTCAAGCCCTGGTGATATCTGTCTGCAAGTCTAACTACGAAAGGCTTATTTGACTGGTTTTTAAAAAAATTCTAATTACACACTAATTTTTGTAAGACAAATATTTACACGTTAAATAGTGATAGAAATGTAGCCGTGTTAGTCTAGTGTTAGCCTTAGTTCTCTACTTAGACAGAAGTACTGCCAACCCCACAGATATAAGTATCATGACTCAATCCCCAAATAACCATTAAATCGATTTGAAAATAATTAAATATTATACAAAAACATTCTGGGATCTTTTTATTTGTCTTCTGGTCTTTTGAGCTTTGAGCGTCCCTTTCAAAGCTTTTCTCCATAACTGTGAGGTCTAGAAAGTTCTAATAAAAATGAAAACTGAAATTATGGTATAACTCAAGAAACTGGTGTTTTAAGAAAAAAATCCTATATTGGGAAGCTAATGATAAAATCATGAGGATTGGAAACAACTGTGACTGCTGACAATGGTAGCGTTTAAAATGCACCCAAAATTTGATTATAAAGAAAACAAGCACTCGACATATTGTAAGGATAAAGAACGTCTTATTACATACACAGATGTTAACTGCAATTGATACAAGAGACAAGGATGCTGGTTTTGCAGTTGGACAACTTGCATGTGAAGTTTGATTTTAGTAGTATTTAGATAGCTATCTCTCCTATTCCTGTTAAAAATCCCATCTTAAGCATTACTAATCATTCGTTAAGACACCACACTGATAATCATAGTTGCTAAATGTTGACATTTGTGGAAATTAAAATAAATTTGTACTATATTGCTTATACTGAAGAAAATAAATGAAATACATGAAACTTTTTCAAGAACCTATTAAAATGTTAAACATAAACCACTTGACGATGAGGAATTTTGTGCTAATTTGAACTAATAGCTTTAAGAAGTTGTTTGCATTACAATTACTAGCTTTGTTTCTGTCCATACCTAGAGCATTTTTTAAACTTCGTGCTATTTTATATTTAGGTGTCAGTAGTTAATTTCCTTATGTGTGATGAAAGAATGTTTTCCATGGGAGATAATCTAAACTTTTTGTTCACTGGGTCTAAGGATTTCATAAATTGAAGAGAACCCAAACAGAAATATTTCACAGCACTTCCTATCTGCATGATCTAAAACACTGGTTATAAAAGAGGTGGGAATGCAAATACATATTCATGTTTAGGAAGCCTTCAGCTGTCTCATAACATTTTGAATACAATCTTTTCAAAACCAAAACGTGGTATGATTGTTTCCTTTTCATGGTTCAGTTTCCTTTTTTCTCTTTTCTATCTTTTTTTTTTTTTTTTAATATTCTGGTTAGTCTTGTAGGAAAGCTTTTTCTAGTGTGTATAATGTCTCCCTCTCTAGTGTTTTGCCTTACCCTACTTACCAGTAGAGAGTATATCTGACAACATGCACCCAAACGATGTTCTGCCCAGGACAGAGGGATAATTGAAATCTGGTTTGGGCAACGCATCAGCTGTAAGAATGCTCCAAAGCATCCCCCTGCTCAATACAGAAAATGTTGACCCCAATGTCCAATTGCAAGTGTTTGGGGTTTTTTTTGGGGGGGGGAGGGAGGAGAAGGATGAGAGGAGAATGGGTTAAATTGCTTTCTTTGGGCCCGGGGCTACAAGGCTCAGTTCTTCCATAGTGTTTCTGTTGGCTGAGAAGAGTCTAGGGAGAGAAGTACGCTTTGGGTTACATTCATGATTTTTTGTGAAAACAGCTGTGTTTTCAGGAAAAAAAGTAAAAAGGAAAACCAAGAATTTTTGTGTATTTTCTCCATTTTGTTTGCTGCTTCCTTTTTCCCCACAGCATTTGCAAAGCTGCCAAGTTTCTCACTTTTGTGATGTGATGAATAGGGGTTTATATGATATACTCAGTTCTGCTGTCTTGTGATTTCCGCAACCCACTAATCTTCCCAAAAGGTCTCGGCTGGACATTTGGGTTTGTTCTTTCTCCAACTGTTTTACTGCTCTGACTCTGAGAGAAACACAGAAGCCTCAGCAGGTGCTGGAAACAAAAGAGTGGTTATGAATTGTCAGACTGACCGCTTATCAGAAGCCAAAGGGGTATGACCACAATTGAGGGCCCCCCCTTAATTTGGAGGTGCCTTGGGCAGTAAAAATGGTGATCAGTAGCATTGGCCTTTGTGATGCACTTCATTTTCCATGAGAACTTTGCGGTCTATACTATAAATGAAGTGAGCTGTAACTTTGTGTCTGGAATCTGTCCAACTTTTTAGGTTCACTGTTTAGGTTCATTTTAAATTTTTATGCAGTCTATTGCAATAGTGAGGGAGTAAGGCCTGTCCATCTCAATAAGGGTAATTAGCAGAAATACATATGATCCTAGCCAGAACTGGGAATTCTGCAGTGAACAAGAAGAAGTATTTGTTCAGGTCCACCTCCCTTCCCCAAAGTTAGGGGAAGCCTTGTGAAATGTAGGTGTTTAGAGAAGTTGATTGGCTTTCATGATTCCTAAAATCTTCCAAACTGTCTTCCAAAGACAGTCGTGAAGGACTTGACCCAAAGGCAGCAGGGCCCACAGTCTATGCTGGCCTTGAGGCAAGATGTGGAAGGCACCTGGTTCCATTCCCCTGAAGGGGCAGGGTCAGGGACAGTCAGTCCTTAGCACCCTGCAGACTGCAATTCCCCTCTTCCCAAGCCCTCAGAACAGCATGTAAGGGCACTCCTGCAGCAATTCAAAGGGGCCTGCATCTCTAGTTGCTGCCACAGTAGCAGTGGCGGTGACTGGGAGCACTGTTCCCCTATGAATCTCCGGGTCCCAGGGAAATCCCCCCTTATGCTCCAACCTGTCATTGGGCTTCTTCAAAGACTGTGAATAATTTATGAAATCATTGATGGTCAGAAATTAACAGCAATCTTATGTGATGTGCAAGGGGCTTTTGTATGCAGAGGTTAACATTATGCAGAATTATTTTCTTCTGTGAGAATCTCTGTTGTTCTTTCCTCCTTTCCAATTTACTGTATATACTCATTCAGAAACTGACTTCTTTTGCAAAAAAAAATCCTGCTGTGAAGAGCTGGGGTGGGGGGAGTGGGCTTGTGATCTGGTTTTTTCCAAGCTGCACAAAGCAACTTATGCTGGAGGACTTGCTAGCTGCTAGCATGGAGTCTCTCAGTTGAGGGACACTTAACTGATAACACTCTTAACTGATAACATTGATAATACTTAAAGCTTTAACAATGAGTTTTAACACTTCCCAGCAGCCAGCAAATCTTTCAGCCTGGAAGTGATAAAAGCTCAGTGTTAAACTGTGATGTTCTAAAAGCTCAGCTGAGAGCCTCCATGCTGATGCTGACCCTGAGGAGCTGGGACTGGATGTCTGTACCCTAGATTTGACTTATAAACGGGTCAGTGACTTTTTACCATTTTTCTCTCTAATTTGGGGGGTCATCTTATAAACGAATGGGCTTATGTTCAAGTATATACACGATACTTTTTCTGATTCTCTTTGTAAAGATGTAGGGTCATATGTTGTACTTAGAAATCTTTATCACTTTCAAAATTGCCATTTTGCAAAAGCATTCATATTGTATTATGCTATCAATAACATTTTAAACATCCCAAAGTAATCAAAAGAGGCATCTGGTAAATTTACAGTACATTCTGTGTTCACAATTAAAAAGTTAATTCCATTTTATCATACTTAAGTGGTTTGTGTTACCTAGTCTTGAAATGGTTACATCTCTAAAACTGGCGTGAATCTTTAAAGGGTAATCACTGCACAATGGTAATTTTTTTCAAAGAGAGCGTTTATGATACTGAAGAAAACATATGTGTGTTTATCTTTTTTATCTTTTTAATTTCATTTTCTGTTTATGATATCTAGGTGCTGTACTTTTGGCCAGTGTGCAGGGATTAGCAGTCAATATTGATCCAGTCTTATATACTTGGCTTCTGTACCAACCTCAGAAACGAAGTAGTAGACACATCCAACAGGTAGGAATTCTTGAGAAATCAGTTGTGTGTGTGTGTGTGTGTGTGTGTGTGTGTGTGTGTGTGTGTGTGTGTGTATATAGAAGTAACCTTTTTTGCAATGCTACATTCTTTCATTTAATGTGAAATGCTTATGTTTTGTTATTTCAGACTATATTTATTATAAAGGATACCATCACAACATGTCCTTGTCCCACACTCTGTTTTGATTGGATTTAATCTCTAGATCCCATATGCTTCAAGTCCCTGGGTCTTGATAGTAACTGATCACTACCTTCAGTGGCATGTATACTCAGCTGTTGGGAGGTAAAATTTCTAATATTAGTCGATGTACAAAAGCTAGCTCTGCTTGAGCTACTGCGATTAAAATAGCACTGCAGGTCTAGTGGCACAGATGATAGCTCAGATTAGCTACCTGAATGCAGCCCTTCCTAACACCTTGGTATCCTAACCTAGCCCAAAGCTGTAGCCAGTGCCACTGGGCCACACTGCTATTTTCCGGGTTCTAGCTCTCCCAACTGCTACGTAGACCTATCTGGTGCACTCCCCAGTGCAAGCCCCCATCAGATACTCTTCTTAGGAAGTATCTTGCAATCCAGACACCAAGATCTCAATACCAGTGCCACAGCCCTCCCAAACCCACAGTTGCTTAGATACATTCCCCGCAGAGTTCACCTGGCTGTTGGAAATTGGGTTACTTAATTATACCCTTCAGGGGCAATGTGACAGTAAAGCAAGGCTTGTCAGGAATATCTTGCCTCACACACTTATCTCTTCAAGAAGTACAAGGGAGTTGCACATTTATGGAAAACAACCTTCTGAACACAATTTCCTTCATTCTGACCTCACTATCCAGTGATTCATGGTCTGAAAACTTAAGCACCACGTAACCCTTCTGACCTTCTGAACATGGCCATCTTCACTTCTCTGACTTAATAATTTTTAAAACTGACTCTGTCTCAGTGAATTGGGGACAAGGCTAGGTCCAAGCTCTAGGGCTCCTCACTTGTTAGCTTTCATGTAGAAAGGCATTCAAAGTAAGTGGACCTGCTCATATAAAACACATTAAATTAGTAAGGAACAATTATTCACTGTTGATGGCCCTTGAATGTTCGGTCACAGCTACTCAGACTTGTCTACTAGGTGTCAAGACTCTGACACAAAATCTACAGTGAAGGTTCTACTTTAAGAGATTGCACATCTGCATTTTTGAGGCAGGATAAGGGACAGGCTCAAGGTAGGCAGGTGGGGTGGGTTCTGGAGTGGCCTATGGCATTACAGTCTTGGTGTGTGCGTGTGCCCCACTGACAGTCATCAGAAATATCTTCTATAGTCATATCCATCAGGTAGCTTAAGCATGGTTTACCAATTCCCACAATTATATGCTGATATAAAGGATGAGGAATTCTGTAGCACCTTAAAGACTGAGGGTATGTCTACACTAGCCACCCTAGTTCGAACTAGGGTGGCTAATGTAGTCATTCAAATTTGCAAATGAAGCCCGGGATTAAAATATCCCGGGCTTTATTTGCATGTTCCCGGGAGCCGCCATTTTTAAATGCCCGGTAGTTCGTACTCCCTGCCTGCGGCTACACGCGGCACAGGCTAGGTAGTTCGAACTAAAGCCCCTAATTCGGACTACCGTTACTCTTCATTGCAGGAGGAGTAATGGTAGTCCAAATTAGCGGCTTTAGTTCGAACTACCTAGCCTGTACCGCGTGTAGCCGCAGGCAGGGAGTCTGAACTACCGGGCATTTTAAAATGGCGGCGCCCGGGAACATGCAAATAAAGCCCGGGATATTTTAATCCCGGGCTTCATTGCAAGTTCAAATGACTACATTAGCCACCCTAGTTCGAACTAGGGTGGCTAGTGTAAACATACCCTGACAGATTTATTTGGGCGTAAGCTTTTGTGCGTCAAAACCACTTTGTCAGATGCATGGAGTAGAATTATATATTCTTCTTCGAGTGGCCCCGTGGGTGCTCCACTCTAGGTGTTGGGTCCCGTCCCGGTGCCACGAATTGGAGAGCTATCAGAGCCATGGTCCTTTGGACCACACATGCGTGGCTGCCAGAGGCGGCGTTCGCGCCTTTGATGTGTTGCACGCGGTTCGGCTTGCTCAGTTCCTCTCAGCCACCCTCGGTTGCGGATGAGAACTCCTGCTTGTCAGTTTCACTTTCGCAACTGCTTTTTCAAAGAAGCCTTCACATTTGTAAATAGTTCAGAGTCTGATTAATTATTTAGTTCTTGTTGATTTCTAGTTTAAAAAAAAAAGAAGAAAAGGAAAACGGACTGAATCTCACCAACAAGTTAAAGGGACAAGCGGAGGAGAGACTACTCAATTTCTGGTTTAAAAAAATGCTCCGTCTGCCGGGAGCCTATGCTGGTGTCGGACAGACACGATTCTTGTGTGAGGTGCCTGGGTGAGACACATGTCCCCCAGAAATGCACTCACTGTTGCAAGTTAACGGCGAGGGCTCATAGGGATCAAGACTTGCGCCTCACGTACCTGCTTCTGGCATAGCAGCCCAGAAATGGCGGGCAGCGTCTCCTGGGATGACCGTTATTAAGAAAGCTAAGGCGTCCCCAGCGTGATGCCTGTCTGCCACCACCAAAGTCAAATGTTCTGACAAATCATCAGGGGCACCTGCCCCAGGGTATCAACGGGCTCCTAGGGTGAGGAGATGGCCTGAGCCAGGACTACAAGTGGCAGTGGCACCGGCTCCAGCAATAGCTCAAAAGACGGCATCAGCGAGAGCGTAAACCCCCCGGTGCCGAGCCGGCAAACATCCTAAGTGGCACCGCAGGTGTTCTCTGATCTGCCAGCACCGGGCTTCTCCTCGGCACCGCCAACACCGCCCTCATGTGGCGCTCCATTGGCACTGTAGCCAGGTTCAGCCCTGAGCTCTCCACCTGCAGCTGAAATTGACAAGGCTTCACTGCCTTGTAAAGCTCCGGGGAAAGAAAACCTACAGGGCATTATCCCCCTCGCTTGTCTTCTCCCTGGGACCGTCTCTTTCCCCACCCAGATACCAACGGCACCAGGACTATAGCCTCTCACCTTCTTACCAGCTACTTAGAAGACCCTCACGTGGGGACACAGTTTATATAAAATCAAGATGCTCTCTATCGCGTTCTCGCTCCCCCAGGAGGTCACCAAGGCGTAGATCATCAAGATGGTCGCTATGTCAGGTCTACTACATCCGCAGTTCAAGATCTTCCAGATATTCTTCGCCAGCGCAGTCGGACCACTACTATGGCCGCTGCCACAGGGATGATTATGGCCGCCCCCACCCTGGCCGTGCTACCCTATGCTATAGAGGCTCTTCATGTAACCGTCCATTACCCAGTGCGCAACACTTACCTGACCATCCACAGCAATTGTTTTCTCCGCCTCCATTGGAAAACTTAACCATCCGTCAGGAACATTCGGTTAAGCTGTCCGATACAGAAGATCCTCAACCACACATTCCCCCAGCCGACTGTTCCTCCTCTTTCCCAGATGAAGCAATGATTCCAGATGATGCTCCTCCTTTGGATGACCTGAAGCAGTTCCAGGATCTGTTCAAGAGGGTTGCGAACACACAGGAGATACAATTAATGGACGTACCAGTAAAGAAACATTGTTTTTGAAGAATCTACGACAACAGCAGTGGGCAAAGATCACCCTTCCTATTGATGAGGCCATCATGGTAGTGGCAGACGAAATATGGCAGACTCCTACATTGGCTGCCCCAACTAGTAAGAGGGTTGATAGGAAGTATTTTATACCCGCTAAAGGACTGGATTTCCTTTTCAGTCACCCTCAACCCAATTCCCTGGTTGTTGATGTGGTACAGCATAGAGCTAAAGGTCCCCAATATGAGAATACGGTCCAAGACAAGGATAATAAAAAATTGGACGTTTTTGGAAGAAAGATTTACTCTTCGGCTACGTTATTGTTACGAATCACAAACTATATGGCCCATCTTTCTAACCACAATTTTGATAACTACTCAAAGCTTACAGAGCTACTACAATATCTTCCTGATACCAAGAAGCCCTTGCTGAAAGCCATAGTCCAAGAAGGATATATAGCCTGTAATACTACTCTGCAGATGGCCATGGGATGTGGCCAACACGGCTGCATGGGCTACAGCTATGGGGGTCGCGATGAGACGGTCTTCCTGGTTATCATCCGCGGGAGCTTCAGAATAAAGTGGAAGACCTACCCTTTGATAAACAAAAGCTCTTCGCTAGTAACACCAACAAAGTTCTTCATTCTGGCAAAGACTCCTGTACCACTTTACGTACCTTGGGAATGTACACACCTCCCTATAAAAGTAAGCGCTACTATCAACTGAATTTTGCCACCTGGGTGTGACACAAATTCAAACGCCCAAGCTCTCCCTATATCTGTCCCTTTATGACCGGCTGAAGTTCTTTTGTTTGTGTTCGGTTCGGGTACAGCAGCACGGGTTCAAGTCAGAAGCTTGACACGCACTGGCTTATTTATAGGAGAAAGAAAGAGAAAAGAAATAAAGAAACTTGGTTCAGTGTATATAGATATATATATTTTATAAGTGAATGAGGGCACCCCACTTGTTCCCAAAGTTTATAGCAAAATCACCTTACCAAAGGTGATTTACAATAGAAATGAAGCAGTTTGACTTTAAGAAAACTATAATAAAGTAACTAACTTACAACAGAGAGACAATTAGAGTGTACACATAAAGAAAACACATTGCAGGTACAATTCTCACCCCTGCGTTCCAGACTTGGCGTGGCCAGCGTCTTTCTCTCAATCCCTCGGGAAGAAGTAGGGCGAGGTTGGGCGTCCCACGGACCTCGGGAGACAATCAATACCTGCCAGCAGGTGTAGGTGATTGGAGCTCAAATTGGGTGGGCAACTCAACCCTCTTTATACCCCTTGGGTCACATGGGCTTCTTCCTGGTCTCAAGTGGCCAATTAGGAAAAATGGCTTTGAATGCCAAGTTTCCCACGAAGGGTGCAAAGCATAAT